TTACTATGCCAAAAATGAGCGCGATCTGTCAGACAGTTCGTTTACGGCAGCTGTTGAAACCAGTTCACCTCAGTAGGGCGTTGCGAAAAAAACAATGGAAAAAAATATTGAACAAAGAGTTTGCATCAAATTTTGTGTTTCGAACGAAATTTCGTGTGCAGAATCGTTGCGAATGCTACAAAAGGCTTATGGGGAATCAGTTTTATCGAAAACTCAAGTTTATGAGTGGTACAAAGCCTTCCAGGACGGTCGTACGACCGTCGAAGACATTTCGCAACGCACTACTGAGGTGAACTGGTTTCAACAGCTGCCGTAAACGAACTGTCTGACAGATCGCGCTCATTTTTGGCATAGTAATTAAGGACAGTGCTGACAAACTACATAAACTTAAAATATCGAAAAATATACAGCGCGCGAATTTTAAATGAGAATTTCCGAAAACTTTTCAGTCTTAATGTAAATAGAAATTGACAATTTTGCGAATCTTAAAAAACTAATATGTATGCTATTGAGCTAGGGTATTCGTATTTATCAATTTTCTTCTAAGGCGATTTAGTGGGACTTAATGGGACTTGAGTCTGTCTCGGAATTTTAGTGTATATTGGTGAATAACTTCTTCCACAGTTGGAAGATTTAGGTCTTTGTGTAGGTTTTTGTTTTTGAAATACCACGGAGCGCACGTAGTTTGTCGGAAAATATTATTTTTTTTTATTTGTCTTGCACGCTGAGCTTCACTGCTCTATACCATAGGTTCAATTTGGCTTTAATATTGATTTGTAAATTAACAATTTCTTATCGAGACTGAGTTTAGAGTTACGGTTTAAAAGCCAGTACAATAACTTATATTTAAGATTTAAATGGCATCTTTTGGCTTCAATATGACTTGTTCACGTGAGCCTTCTATTTAGATGAATTTCCAGATATTTCACAAAAAGTGATTGAGCTATGTCCACAATATTGATTTCAACTGCAGGTCATGTTTCTTTCCTTAAAGAAAAAGTTACTTGAACGCATTTAGTGTGATTTCCCTTGATTCTGAATTTGGCAAGCTAATCTTCAATCAAACCAAGATGCCTGGATAAGTTTTGTAATGCTATAGTGCAGCCACGGTCGGTACTGACTATAGCAGTGTCGTCTGCGAACGTTGTCAGCAAATTGTTTGGGTATTGTGGAATGTCAACTGTGTAGATTAAGTACAGAAAAGATCCAAGCACACCAACCTGATGAACTCCAGCGTTGATATTGTACTATTACGAAGTAAAAATTTGTATCTAACCCTATATTTCCGTGAGTTGCGTAGGATTTTAGAAGTTTATAAACGTTTTTCGGAAGCGAATGCGTTAACATGAATCAACGCAAAGAAATTTGATTAATCGAATTACTCTCAGTAAAGCACTGATGAAAGGCAACGAAATGAAAGCATTATTAAATTGAATTATAACTGTTTAAATACAAAAATATCCAACGTAACCGATCATGGTCCAACGCCAGTGGCCCTCCACAAACGATTTCAAAGCTCGATGCCAAACAAGGTTTTGTAGAGGGTTTGGTGGGATTGGGAAGGAATTGTCTATTACGAACTGCTCCAGCGTAGTGGAACTTTTAACTCGGTCATCTACTACTTATAACTCGACCGCTTGAACGAAGTAATTAGGGAAAAGCGCTCAAAATTAATCAACAGAAAAGAAGTTGTGTTCTATTATGACAACGTCATGTTGCACAAATTTGTGATGCCTCTGACAAAATTGACGGA